TCTTTCTTTGCAATGTTGGAATCTTGCATTTTCCTTTTCAGGATATTGTCGATATTATACTGTAATGGAACCTTTACATTTACATATATACGTTGTCAAAGCAGTTCTCAGATCACACGCACCAGCCACACAAAATTCAACTGACATTCTAATATTTGCACATGTAAAATTGTTGAAACCTATACATGCATTGTCAAAAATTGAAATATGTCTGCATCATTTAACAAACATAATCGAGTGAAGTTGGAGATGGCTAAATATCTTACTGATCTCTTTCAAGCATCTGAATAACAAGGTATAAGATATTCCAACCGGTGTGTGAACAATATGAACTAGAGGCAAATCAAGACATTTTTATCAGGCCTTACAAATGAGAGTGTCACATATCTTACTACACAAGAGCTGTATTTTTGGGCAGAATATGGAGAGCTTTTGTGCTACTGCTTATTACAGCTTGAGCTTATAAGCTATATCTAATATCTAATCTGGCCATCATTGAGACTTTGTCAATGATACACAGGGCAGATTGAATTTCAATCAGCGACCTTAAAGAGAATCCATTTAGAACCTGCCTGGCATCCAAATCTCTGCTAAAGGGTCATTCCGTCTAAAATACGTCCAAATATCTCCTAACTACTGAGCTGTATGTCTCTTATAATACAATATGCATACAAAATGAATTATTCAGTTGGAATCTGTAAAACTGCAGCCAACCACAGCATAATTAGCCTTAAAAGAATCTGAATTTTCTCAGACCTTGATATAGGGTATGTCATCAAAGAATATTTAAAACATTCACGTTAACACTGTATCAATTCATGTGAGGACTACAGGCACACTTACCAGGTATTTAATTACTTTCACATAATCATAAAAAAAAAATAATAATGATAAATACAGACAAAATTGATTTTATGAATTCCTCAGTCGTTTTTTTAAAATCAGTATTGGATGTATTGCTATAATTCATTTTAAAAATTCAATAACACTTTAATTTTTTGACAACTTTAACAAAATTTGAGTGGTGTTTCCAGACAAGATCATCGGCCAATTGTTGACCCTAACTGGACACCTACTGCAGCTATCTTGCTGACCATCTTATAAACCCTACACCTTGTAGCTCCTCAGGTTCTTCTAACATTATCTATGTGACAAAAAGGGATTTAGGGAGTTATGAACACACCACTAACCAACTCAGTGTGAATTTTATGGAGGCTGGTCACAAAGTGATTATTCTGTGACATGCTTCCCCATGTGTAACCCAAAAGAGCAATTTGTATGAGCAGCCTCTTTTAGAATAATGCCTCTAATAGGATTGAGGGGATTAACCCATCACTGCGGCCTTTAGCTCCTTGGATCTATGCAACTCTACCAAGACGCCACTGAAATTTCAACATAACTGCATATTTTAATATTTATAAATGTAAAATCCTATAAAAACTTAAAGCTATTCAAGATTCTGTCTGTGGCATCCCCCACCCATTCAGTTTTAGAAATGTACTGTGTAAACTAGTGGATATAAATATTTTAAAAATTTATGCTTTCTTCAATTTTCTTGACAAAATATGCTTATGATTGAGTGCCCACACAACTTCACAATTCAATTTTCAAGGAAAACTGCATTGATATAAAACACTTTTCCTTTTAACCCAAATTTCTGCCTTAATCAATGCAACATAAATATATACTGGGATCACATACTTTCTCAACAGGACCTCAGTGCCTCAATCAAATGGATCTTTTGTTGCACAAATAATGCAGGCAATAAAATCACAGGCAGTCTAGACCAGGCTAAGGTTAATTACCAAACTGCCCCTATTAAGGAAAGGGTTCTCATTCTGAACTTTATTCAATGAAATGCCTTTGCCTTTGAAATATTTTTTTAAACAAAATAAATGTATAGACCCTATTGGCCATTGCCATGGCTGCAGAAAAGGTGAAGAAAAGAATTTTAAGAGAGACAGAAAATTTATAGCAGTTTCAGAAAATTTATGTTTGTATTAAATCAGTCAGAAAGGTTTGTTGTCTGTGTTCCCGTAAAATTGATTTTTCAGGCGATTTGAAGAATATCTGATATTGACAAAGGCATGGACAAACATGGTCAAATGGACTAGGAGAAGAACTGGCCGTGATCTGAATAATGGAAACAACAGGAGGGAATGCTGGGAGCTGGGCACCTGGTAATTTACGTCGTTTGTCATCCGTCATGGCCTCATCTTTCATCTGACTCTACCTGGACAAACCTCTCATGCACATGTGTATGCCATTAATTTTACGATGGTGAATAAGCACATAAACAAAGAACCCTGTCAAGCATTATAACAAAAACCCATGACAAATACATATACGTGCAGGCTCCTCTGCACTAATTCACAATCACAGTGTTTTGCAATTAAAAATACAAATAAACAACAATTTAATTTACTACACAGGTGATGAATATGTAATTAAAGCTGAACTTAATTGGTATCTAAAACACTTACTCTGAAGACCAAGTCAAAGTGATTTAGAAAATTAAAAGTCACCACACTTTTTCTATTCAATATCTCAAATCCTTTAATATACTGAAGTTTTTTTTTTGTCCCTTTGATTTAGACATAACAGGATTTGACTGTAGCATACCTATATTTACCAGTAAAATTACCTTTAAAAGTGAAGAAAATCGGCTACCTTAGATTTTCACTCTACAATATTCTGATTTTTGTTTCAAAATATTAAAATGCACCGCATCATAACCCCCTAAATTAAGTGATCTATTGTAATTATTGCACATTTCAAATGTTTCAAATATGAATCACGTACCATAAAAATTACCGGTACATGAGTTACCCTGAAAATGTAACACAATTTTGAGGTTTAAATAAAATTCTTTTGAGGTACATTTTTTCCTAAGGAGGTTTTTTTTTTTATCAAACCACGCTTTCCACATTTTAGGAAGAAAGTGTTTAGGGGTTCTTATTACACAATGTATATAGCTCACAATTAGCTGTCAATTTATCTTTTATCTACCTATTGATCACACTCTTTGATTTGAGGAAATCGGTCACTAAGTACTGACTATAATAGTTTAATACATGCTTAGAAATTTGATAATTAATGATACTCATTAGGGAGAGTTTCTATTGTGGAGGTGTCATGCTGAGCCCATGAAGTCATCATTATCGCCTGTATAATCAGTATTTGTTACCTAGTTAACTTGTGTTGTGTTATTTACTACAGGCCCCTATGACAAAAAAATTGATTATAGGGGCTGACATAATGATTTCTCCCCAAGTCCATGACTGCACCTGGGCGACCCCTCAACTAAAAAGTACACCTTCAACTGTTGGGCAATTTCAATAAAAATTACCAAAGTTTGTATTAACATGATTAAAACTCTTAAATGCCCACACAAAAGAAAATAAACAAAGGGGCTACACTGGTTAAGCCTCTTCTCTTCTCTCCCACAAAACACTAAAGGATTAAGAAGAATGGACATTATAATTTTGGTGTAATACCATTCCGAGTGAATTGGAGAGCTAAATGTCAGAAATTTGATTATGTTAGACTGCCCAATACTTGGGTGAGGCCCAAACTACCCGACTTCTGTTTTTTCTGGTGACCAAGGCCAGTCAGACCATATTGGTCACCGGCTCACCCCTCGCCGTGAGACACCATTTCTCTGTAATGCGGATTCCATGTTTGCTCCACTGGATGTACCCCTTTATTCCTAGTGTCAACAGAATATTTGTACTGGGATTATGGCCCGGGTCTCTCTATGGAAGACATTCCTCCCACAAAGACATAATGTGAACAAATTAAAATCCCTTCTGTACACAACTCAATGCTTTTCTTCTGCATGTGTGGATAAAATCTTTGAAACATGTTTTCTAACAGTTAATAAACACAAGCTATTCTTTGAACTGCCCAGTTAAAACATTCACTTGAATTCAATGAGCCTAATTTAAGTAAAAGAGATGTTGTCTAAAAAGAAGATTTAGTCTATTTATAGAGTATGACATTTGTGTTCCTAAAAACTTGTTTTTATATCGTTATCCAAAAATAAATCTTTTTATTACTCTTCCACATTAAGTAAAAGTCATTACTTTTTAAGGAACTAATTCTCATTTGATCATCATGATCTTACATGTGTATGCTTTATTAGTTAATTATGGATTGTGTCCTTTTCTTAACAGTATTTCATGATGGTCACATTGACCAATTATTGCCTTTTCTACACATTTTCCATTGTTCCTCTGTCATACGCGCCTCTCTCTTGGTGCTTCAGAAGGCTGCAGTAGATGACAGCTACTGCCCTTAGGGCTAGATCTGAACCACTGTCCAACCTTCTTACCAATTCACCATGATCAAAGCCCCTTGTAAGGAAAACAACTAATGTGACCAAAGAGACTCTTTTCCTTAACATCAAAGCATGGCTCCTCATGTTAGCAGGAAAACAACAGGGTGTAGCCTCTCTTACAAGCTAAAAATCCATTTACCATAGAAGTCAAAAAGTCATCAGAGAATGTAAGGGTTAGACTAAACAAATCAATTGATTCTAATCAACCACTCTCCATCAGCTCGATGTTGTCCTTGGCTGATCCTGCCATACAACATGTAAAGACCAGGCGACTAATTTAATTAAAGAATTAATACCAATATAGGGTAAATGTGTATTTTTCCTCATTGGAGAATTCATTTTTTTTCTCTTCACACACAGAATAATCAAACAAATGCAGGTGTCTGTGTGTGGATTCCAGTATTCTTGAGAGGGGAAAATTCAGCAGAACACATTACCACACCATTCATCATGCTTTCTGAAATAATCCATCTTACTTCAAAACCCAGCTGCCTGCTTTTTTTTCAATCATTTGTTAAATCTTTACATTTCCTCAGGGCACACACTAGTTTGCAATGAAAATTAAGGGGAACATTATGAATAATGTTTGGTTCTATATCATATATCAAATATAAACTACTTCATAACACTTCATAAATCGTTGGTCACCTGAAAAACTTACCGTCAAGATGCAGGAACCCACAGCTACATTTTCAGCAACTCTGCCTTCATAGTACGACCTCTCAAAGACAGGTTCAAGGTCGTTGACGTCGTCAATGGCGATGCTGACAGTGGCGGTGGATGACTGCGGTGGACTTCCATGATCCGTTGCAATCACAGTAATCCAGGGGTTTGAATTGTGCTCACAGTCAATGTTTGAACTACTCTTAGTGGTGATCAACCCAGTAGAACTATCAATTTGAAACCAATCTGCATCGGATGAAGGATTGGATATTATGCTATAAGTGATACGAGCATTTTCTCCCAGGTCAGGGTCACTGGCTGTAACCTTGACAACAGTTGAACCAGCAGGTGCCTGTTCAGGAACTGATGCTGAGTAAATTGTTTTTGTAAACTTTGGAGCATTGTCATTCACATCTTCTACAATCAGTGTGAAAGATTTACTTGCATACAAGGGTGGTCCACTTGGGCCTGAGTCTTCGGCTGTAATTGTCAGGTTGTAATTAGCGTAGCTTTCTCTATCCAGGGGTTTTAAGATCTTGATGCGATACACCACCCTGTCATCTGTCACAAGGCCGAAATATCCCATGTCTCCCTGCAGCGTAACATTAACATTGGCATAGTAATTATTTGGGGAGTCTGGGTCACTGACAGAGATGCGAGCGATGTAGTCCCCCACTGTTGCGTTTTCAAATGTTTTGTTGTCTTTTATTAGGTAAACAAGGTTAATGTTTGCTGGTTGCTCATTTACGTTTGTGATATTAACTTCTACAACTGCATTTGATTCTAATGTTTGGGAACCGTTGTCTCTTGCAATCACAGATAACTCGTAATGTTTTTGTCGTTCGTAGTCCACTTGTTTGTTGATTCTAATGATACCCGTATTTTGTTCAATGATGAAATGTTCCTCTGGATCTCGCTGGCGATCCAGTAAATAAGTAATTTTCCCGTTTTCACCAGAATCGATGTCTGTAGCACTAACCTTAACAATACTAGTCCCAATCTGAATACTTTCGGGTACAACTGTAGAGTATTTTGTGTGTGTGAATTCCGGAGCATTATCATTGGCATCTATAACACTCACATTTACCAAAACATTCGCTGTGTGTCTAGGAACTCCCCCATCACTCACTTGAATGATCAAACTATACTCTTTTACACCACTGTCATAATCTAACTTTCCATTTAACACCAAGTCCAAATACAGCGTTGCAGATGGCAATCTGGATTCCAGTTTGAACATATTGTCTTGATTTCCACTGATGATGGTCGCAGTATTTTGGACTGAGTTGATCCCAATATCCCGATCTTTCACACTACCGATGTGGACTTTGCTTCCATTTGGTGACATTTCTGAGAGGGACAGGGATTTGCTGCCACTCGGAAAATATGGCACATTGTCATTTGTGTCAATGACATTTATCTTAATCTGAATGGTTGTCATTCCATTAGAGTGCATAGAAAGTATCACAATTTCATAGCTTGACTTGGTCTCCCTGTCTAACTTGCGGGCAGTGCGGATAAGTCCAGACTGGATATCTAGACTGATGTCATCTGAAGATTGCAACAAAGTGTAAGGTGGGGGGTAAGCGGTCACATTGATCTGTCCTACATAAGTTAGTGGAGCCTGTTCTTCTATGACATCAAACTTGAGTGTCACTTCCACTTGACTTCGTACTGCTGCTACTAAGCTCAGTAGCAGCAACAAAAGGTTGTTATTCCAAGGTTTCATTTTAATGTATGAGCATGATCAAATGCCTTCCTTTCTTCTAAAAATGTTAAAATACCTTCTTTTCAGTCCTTCATACATTGCGAAGCCATAGTGAGCGATGGCCTGGACTCATTCCCTTTATTCAGCGCGACATGCTTGTAAATTATCGCAATTTCAAAAACAGCTCAACAAAATTGTCGAAAGTTCATAAGACCCTAAATGTTAAAATAGATACCCTTTCAAATCCAGGAACCATTTTCTCCGCGGGAGACAAAAGGACTAATTGCATACCTTACCATTACACAGTAAATATACGGCAACACGCTGAGCCGACTACCTGTCCAAACGTAAACTCCAATAACACACCTGTAAAACCTTAAAACAGCACTCTCACACACAGGATCTCTGAGTCTTTCCAATAAGATACCGCCACAATTTTAGTTTCCTATCACACTCTACATTTTTACTCTTTTCTCTTCTGTCGATTCAGTAACGTGGTTGTGTTGTCTACGGTCCGACTCGAAATCAACTGCAGTTTCTAAGTTTATCTCGATTGAGCCTCGTTTTGGATTTTAATCCACAAGCGGTACCTATACACAGGTAATTTAGCTAGCCAAACGGTGTGTAAACATTGAGCCCCGTTTAAAAAAATGAAAGAAAAGGATTTTAGTAAACAATAGAATGCAATCATCACAAGTCAACTGAAGTGACGCACCCAGGTGTAAATAAACTAAATAGATTCCATTAAACTAAATAGATTCCAATGTAAGGCTAACATGATTTGGCATATACTCGTATAGTATCATTTTGAAGTTTATATAGGCCTAACGTTATTCCTTTTTTGTTAAAAATGAAAATTGTTTCTTTTTAATTTCCACCCCTCCCTTTGAAAAAAAGAAGTGAATTTTGAACAAGTGCAAATTATACTGATATATAATAAACTTATAGATATTTCCAAGAATAGACCTATTGTCCAAAATAAAAAAAGAAAGAAATTCCTTCATAGTCATTTTTTGTGTATATTTTTATTTACTATTTTTCATTGCATCAATAATTTTAAGTTTATGTAATTTAATGCATTTTTTACTTTCCAATATATCAAAAAGCTGGTATACATTTTTTTTTAAAAAAAAAACTCGCATCGTTATAAGATTGCTAGAGTTGTCCTTCCTATGGTACATGTACCATCAAGATCGCCGCAAGTCTGCAAGCGCGGATCGAGAAATTTACAAAAAAGCCAATCTCAGAAAATCTGTGACATTAAAAATAACGATAAATAAACGTAAACAAGTACTTCAAACAAAATTCCTCTTCGTTCGGTTGGGTGGGGTAAATTGAAAGGGGAGCGGAGGGGGGGGGGGTCAGCTAATCGATAAAAACGACTCTTTTTCGCAATCTAAATAAAATAAGATCTTTGATCCTCTCCAACTAGATCGCTTTTATCAAAGCTCTAATTTTAATCATATTAACTTTTAGTTACTTTATGTCTTTAATTGCTACTCTTAAAACCACTGGCGGTAGGTGGGGTTTGGGTAGGGAGCTAGATCCGCACAAGAGTCTAACCGCTGTTTATGAACCATTCTGTGCAAATTTAAAACTCTAATTTCCATTGATGTTCATGAGTTCCACTTTAAGAGTCTTGAAGTTTTTAGCACTAAATATACTTTAAAAATATATGACACCTACAGCTAAAAAATCAATTTGGCACATAAACATGTATGATGATAGTTAAATTTAACCAATCATGCAGTAAAGCATTATCAATGATTGCAATGATGAAAGTAATTTAATAATCACAAAATATTTTCAAAATTTTTTCAGTTTCAGGGAAGCTGTTCAAGTTTTCAAAAGAATGTCAAACTGAGAGTAAAGGTCAATAAGTCAAATTTTCGGATTGATTGATTGTATGTTGTTTAACGTCCCTCTCAAGAATTTTTTACTCATATAGAGACGCCACCACTTTCCGGTGGAGAGCTGCAAATTTTGTCCTATACTCTACACTTAGAGCCATAAAGCAGGGAGGGATCTTTTTTGTGCCAGCACCTACTGCGACACGGGGCCTCGTTTTATACGGTCTCATTCGAAGGACTGATCTCCATGTCCCACAGTGGGATTCGAACCCGCGACATAAGGACAAACTCCTTACTTAAATGCGAGTCTAGAGCAGACGCTCTAACCACTGCGTCACGGTGCGTTGGTGGTGGGTATCCAGCTACTAGTCTATCTCTTCATCCAATTCCAGCATGATGATCGTTCTGCTGCTTGAGCCATCTTTTGGACTGCTGTTCCCTTACTTCTCCTTGTCTCCCCTAGACAAGAGAACATCCTCCAAACTGATTGTACCGGGAATCCTCTACATCCGACCTCTAATGGATAGTTCCAGGTCTGCCATCCTACCTCTCTACATTCTGAAAGCAATAAGTCATATTTAGCCTTCTTTCTTTAATGGGCTTCCTAGCATCATCCCTCCCAGGGCAGCCACGTAGCATCGTTTTTGAAAGGGGGGGGGCAGTCAGAGAATTTTTTTTTAACTTACCTGAAAAAGTTGACAAGCAAACAAAAAATTGTCCAAAGTCGAAAATCCTATTTCGTGGGGGTGGGGGGTTAGAAGCCAACTTTTTTCTGCCAATTTCTTTCAGTACCAATTTTTTGACCTACTACATTTTTCTTATATCACTAAAAGTTAGGGGGGCAACCAGCCTTTCAATAAACATTTCCTATAGTTTAAGTTATGTTGGGGAAAAAAAGTGGGGGGTGGCAGGCCCCCCTGGCCCCCTGTTGCTACGTGCCTGCAGGGTACATGTATTTGGTGTTGTCACAAGGGATACACCTGTGAAATATGAACTTCCTTGTACATACTGTTAAAAAAAACTTCAAGGTCAATATGTCAAATGTTGATACTCCCAGAAAAGTCTTTTCACAGTAAATTCACATTAATGTTGAAAAAAAGAAAGGCATAGCTCGAAGTCTCAAACCAAACAAAAGTTATGGGCAAGGTTAAAGTTTTTTTTAAAATAAACGCAGGGTTTTTAGGGGTCATAGGGGGCCTGAAATAGACCCCATTCCAAATGGTAAGTTTTTCCCAATATTATAAAAGGAAATTCCCAAAAGAGAATCAAAACAAACAAATATGGTTAAAAATGTCTGAATTCCGTAACATGATACCAGGAATGGTGTTAAAAAACAAATTAAAAGTAATGTTCCAAAAACTGATTGACTAAATGTTAAATAAGTAAATAAAATGCCTTGCATTCATGAAAATAAAAACATATAATTAAATTTATTTACACGATAAAATGAAATATGATATTATTCCAAATTTAAACAAAATGTCGCTATTTTCCCAAATGCAAATAAATGCACAGTCGCTTGACTTTGATATTAACGACAACAAAATTCAAAAGCAATACAAGGGTTATCTTTCTTATTACGCTATGTGGATCAATTTTTTTTTAAACGTATAGGGTCAACATGCATTAAATATTCAATACTAGTATGCAAAAAGCAAAAATCAAATCATATATATTTGTTCTTTATATATACGATTAGAAAATAACAAAAATATATTGATATATGTTCTTTATATACGATAAAAATTGTTTTCAATGTTCACGATGGATGTATCAATTAGATTGTAAATGTTTTCTAAATACATCCCCATTACCAGTTCAACAGACCCCCCCCCACCACCACCACCACCACCACACACACACACACACACACACACACACACACACACACACCCTAACACACCAGCATCGTGGCCCTAAACATGCCCTGTCGGTTCCTGAGTATGGACTTCTCTTATTGACACCCACTTCAAGAAAGCAAATATTTGTGTACCAAATCTAAACATTCAAGTTAAACAAGGTTTATGTGAGTGCAGAGAAACAAGATTTCGTCAATTTGTCGCCGTTCATTGTGAAGTGCTACCGCTGAGGTATCCCTCCCCTTTTCTATATATATACATTTAATTCAAGTCTATAGTCTCATTTCGTGGATTTTATTTTATTTATTTTAAGTAATTTTATAAAGTTTATATGCATTTTTGTACTGAATAGTAAAAAATTATGAACCTACTGTATACATATTTTTATTTCTTTGTCGAGTGATATCCATTCTTTCTTCGTTTAATTTCATAACAGTAGAGTTAGCGTAATCAAAGACATCTAAATGGATTTTTCGTGTTTTTTAAAAATGGGATAGGGAAAAATATTCTGCGAAGAAGTATATAAAAACAGAGCAAACGATTCAACAACTATCTGAAAAGTGTATACGTCAAGTGTGGTCGGCTGGCATGGTGTTGAAAGGCCTCTAAATTAAAATGTACTCAGAATTCATGACAAGCGATTGATTGAGATGTACATTGTAATAAGGTTTTTTTTTCTTTCCAGCATTTAAGAATGCACCACCACGCACCCGAGCAGAGGATTTGCTGACTAGTGAAGTCAAATGAAACCTTAATCGCTAGGCTTTTTGGCTGGATTTACAAATTATAATTTAAAAAAATCAAACATTTATTCTCAAGTGGGATGTTTTTGGATCAGTTTTGATTAGTGAAGGTTTAATGTAAATTAAATTAGGAACTTTGTACATTCATTTGCATGTTATAGTAAATTTCTAAATGTATATATGCCTTTCAAAGTTCTTTGCTGTTTTCTTACATAAATATCCAACATTGAAAAATACTTTGACACCAGTTATCTCGAATCTTCAAAGAATGAGTTATTTGCATAAAAACTAAAAAATGTTTTGAAAAAAACCGAAGGAAAAACTCTGAAAGGTTTTAGAAATCAAGACAAATGACTATATAAATTTGTTTCCGTGGTATGTTTATATAAGAACATGTACTTTGTTAAACATTGGCATGTACCTTTTTTCGGTTATACATTATGATGACGTTATCATCGTAAATGATATTACAGACACATATTTATTTGTATACTGGTATATATGTATATTGATAATATTGATTTTGATTGCATGTTAATTAGCGATTTGATAACCCCAACTGCTGCATCTACAGGTACAGTTACTTGTATATATTGTATCAGATATACACATGTGTGTGTGTTTATGTTTGTGTATGTTTACTAACCTTTCTTTCAGAACTTTCTATCTTGTCATTGTAAAAAAATAAAACAAAATCTTTATGCCTTATGGGCCCAAAATTGGAAAATAAAATTATCTAATTATCTTACATTATTGTGGTTATTTTGTTCGTTTTGTAAAAGTATGCCTTTTCAAACACCCTTTGTTTGATGAAAATAGAAAATTATAGCATGGTAAAATTTACTGTCGAATATGTTTATTAAAAGGGTTATCCTCCACATTCAAATTTATATGTAGAAATATATTTTTAAAAATTTTCAAACAAAGATTAACTGACTGTTTTCAACAAGAATGTGATGCTTTTTTTTTCTTCGCCTTCAAACACATGTCAAAGTGTTTTGTGTATAGATATTTAACAAATAAACTGCATGCAATCCTATTTAATGAAACCAATTCCATCCAAGTATATTCAATTGATTACAAAATATAGAT